TTTATCATGGTCTTTTCTCTCGCTGGACTTTCCCGGCCAACCATGTTAATCGTATGATTAGAAGCCGCATATAAACCCGTTAAAGGGCGCGAGATACGCCCTTCTTTCGCTCAGATTATTTCTCGATTTTTTCTTCATCTCGAATCACATACGCAAAGGCACAGCAGATAGGATTCTTGAACTTTTACGCAAAGCTCATCCGGTGTTCCTGTAACCTTCTCCTGTAACGCTTTCTAATCATGTCGAAACAAACGTGCCACGAGACAGATCTTTAAGGTCAAAAGACAATTATATTTTTATCGTTCCTTCCTGCCGACATACTAACTTTCTCGATAGTGCGTCAATTAACTAAGCGTCCCTTTAATATTTTCCCCTCAACGATGGAAAGCAATCGAATCGGTGTGTATCAATTGCAGAGATATGATGGGGCGACGTTGCGATTACACGATGTAAATCTTGGCGAGCGCGACGAGTCTTCGGAAAAGCTACTACAACTACTGCACCGGTCTTTCTGGTCCGCCTATTGAAAAATTCTATGCATTTATAAGTGTGCGTTTCACAGGACGACCGGGACGTCGGGGGCTTCAGTTCTGTTGTTACTTATATATTTTTCAGTTTGTTCTTTCCCAAGTGTGTTTTTAATTCGCGGTTTAACGACCGACTATAAATCCCGCACGACAGACGATAGTCATACAGATAGAGAAGATCATTTCCTTCCAAATCGAATTTTTAATACATCGATCAAGATTTATCCCTCCATCGCTACACTTTATTCTCCGTCGAAGATATATGTTGCAAGTCGCAGACACAATACCTTGGCCGAGAGAATTTAACAACTGCAAATCTTGTCTGCAAGATTGCAGCTATAATTTTTAAAACATTTTAAAATATAATAAATATACTATTTAAAAATACTATTTAAAAATACTATTAAAAAAATACTATTTAAAGAAAAAAAATATATTTTTTTTCCTTTAAATAACATGGAGCATAGCGATGTCTTCAATCATGTAAATCGCTGTTAAATATTAAGAATATTGTTCTTATTTTTATTCATTACGTATTATATTTTTCAATATGAAGTTTAATTATTATAAATATTGTTATAATGATTAAACGTAAATTATAATCATTATTATAAATATTTTTATAATAATTAAATATGAAAGATTTATCGCGAAAATAATTCCACTTTTTTATCGAAGAATTACTGCTAGAAGTAAATAAGTAATTTAGTCATCTTAATCTAATCGTATGCGTATGATGTAGTTGTTTAAAAAAAGTCATCGATATCTTTATTCATGTAAATATCATCAGCCAATTGCATTAAATATCAATATCATTATTATTCTCAAATCTTTGCTTATGCAAGTATAGAATTACATTATTATATAAATAAGAAAATATATAAATTCATTTAATTTCCCTCGCTCTCTCTTTCTCTCTCCCTCTCTCTTTCTTCCTCAGAAGCTTTCAAAAGCAATTCAAATGATCTATAAGAAAGACAGAAGTTGTATTTCAACATCAAGATCTCCCATCAATATTATAATACCAAAATATCGATGGAAAACTGTCGATAGATACCGGAGTATCGGTGAAATCCCTAACAGAGAGGACACCCCGTATGCAGAAACGCAATTCCCGGCCAACACACACACACACACATACACACACACACACAAATATATTACGCATATACACAAAGAGACAAATAGACAAATACGTACACACGCACACAAACACGACACAGAATCGATCGAAGGGCGTCACAAGCGGATTTAAAGGGTCAGCGGCTTAAATGCTCGAGTGGCGATGTACCGTTAATTGCTAAGACAGACCGTATAGAGTCCGTCTACTGTCTGTCCGTCCGCCTGCCTTGTCCTGTCTCCGTCGTTAAAGATGTGTTTGGCGATCGTTCAATCTCAGGCGCGTTCGATCTTTCCAAGCAGCCCGTTTTACACGTCGATCGTCGTCATCGTCGCTGCTGGTGACGTAAATTTACGAGACGCGCCTGTATGTCATCCGGCACGAAACAAAGATAGAAAATGCGTGTCCGGTATGTGCGAACTCTTACGTATGCAATTATATATGTCGTTGACACAGAACCCGTGTCCTTTCGACTCTTCAATTCTTTCCCATCGCTTGCTTTTTTTTTATTGTTATTTGTGAACGCATGATATTCCGATATTATCGTATCACCTGGAGAAAAGATGATTACAGTATTTATATTATTATATAGTTATCATAGATATCTCTCTCTCTCTCTCTCTCTCTCTCTCTCTTTAACTCAAAATTAGAGCTTTCAATAATCTGTTTTGAAATTTCTACGCATTCCCCAATGTACCGTCATGTAAATAAGTCCGAAATATCTCTACAGACTACTGTATTTTAAAATTTTATATTTAAAAAAATAATCATTCCTCGATTGTGCGTATCTCTATCTTTCTCTCTCTCTCTCTCTTTTTCTCTTTATTCACATTATTAATTCCATTTGTTATTGTATCAATATATCAATTTGATATTTCTCATTTGTTCAGCAGGATTCTGCTGAAAAATTAGTTGAAAAATATTGCAAAAAAAAAAAAATACTTAGAATAAACACATCGAGATTATTCACGTGCAACAAAATGTATATAAAATTCCCTTCAACTTTACCATATGCATCTACACTTTTCAGATTTATATCTTTCCTCATCTCTCCGGGAAAGCTCTCTTCCCGGCTTCCCCGAATTGCCGATCGGGGAACATCGAGGAAACGATACATGAAAGGGAAGATACTCTCGCGAGTATCGGATATATACATATGTACGGCGCGTGTTTAACGGATATTTGTGTACAAACAAATGTACGGTACGCGCGTGCTCGTTCACACGTACACACACACACATACATACATACATTTCGATCGGCAGACAAAAGGATCAGATGCGCGTTCGAGGAGAAATAAGAGAGGGGGGGCAGGATGGGGGTAGAGGATGGACGGAAGAAAGGAGGGAGGAGGGGAACGGAAACGGGGGGAGAAAAAAAAAACCACGTATATCGCAGGTGCAGCGTGCGCGACGTCGCTTTCTGTGGGTGCAACGAATTTCTTCCCCTCTCCTCTCCCCCCCCCTCTCACTCTCCTTCTCTCCTCCAGCTGCGCGGATTTTTGTCGGAGACCTATATGCAATCGTGCGTCCCGCATGTGTTGATTTCGTGCATCGGAGCGATATATTGGCTCTTATCGTAAAATTAACCGTCGCTCTCGATCCGAGACAAAAGAAGGTAGAGAGAGAGAGAGAGAGAGAGAGAGAGACGGACGTTTCAGGGACGACTTCTCGGAGCCGGCGAGAAGACGAGTAGGCGCGATAAATATACGTGCATTTTTAAAGCCGACGAACGCGACGAGGAAACGGTATCTCGTTGGAATTTGCTCCGACAAGATCGCTTGGAAAAACGCGGAGCGACGTCTAACGAGCGAGGATCGGGGAAACGTCTTCAGGGGCGGCAGCGAAGAAGAGAGGGAAGGAGACCGAAGGAGAAGAGGCCGACGTAGAGGGATAAAGGGAGTGGGAGGGAAAAAGCCACGCGTAGAGAGACCGAGAGAGGCAGAGCGAGCGGCAGCGGTATCAGCGGAAGAGGTGAAGAGGGGATGAGCGGGGAGGAGGAGAGGAGGAGGGGGAAAGGGGTAGAGACACGGACCCGCGTCCACATTTCGGTGGGGAAAAAATTCCTACCTTTGGAGCGCCGAGTGTGCGAAGAGTGTCACTTTTTCCTTCTCTCTCTCTCTCTCTCTCTCTCTCGTTCCCTCCGTCTCCTGTCAGAGAGACGTCACGAGTCGTAGGCGTAGACGCTGACGCTGACGCTCGGGAACCGCGCCATTTAACAACACGCAGCGGCGACGCTCACGCACAACCTATCCACGACGGCAGCGGCAACGGGTTCGGGCGAAAGCGGACCCGTTGACGGCGATGGCCGCGACGGCACACCGAGGTCGCTCTCGTGGCCCGCGTTCGCGACCCCGCCCATTAAATCGGGGGCCCCCCCCGATTTATGCTATCGCAGCCGCGAGACGAGACGCGCCGAACGTAGCCGGAGAGGAGGCCCACCCGCGTCAAAAGCACTAACCGCATGACACACGCGCTCCCGCGCGCCCCCGATTGATGCGTGCGGCCCGTGACGTGAGGCACGGCACACACGGCGTCGAACCACGACTCGCCGTCGCGCGCGCGGCCGCTTTATCTCCCCCCTCCCCCCCGTGTTCCAGGGCCGGCTCCGAGGGATTCGCGAAGACGCGAGATCGAGAGCGAGCGAGCGCGCAGATAAAAGTATCCTTTATCGAGCATTTTGATTAGAAATATCTTGGCACATTTAAAATTGTCATATTTAATGGAATGGAATTACCTTGCCTCGTCGTGGATCGGGAAGGACGACGGGGGTGTGATACGCACCTCGAAATGTTTCGATCCGGGGGGGATACGGACGCGTAAAGACGGTGCTGCTCGCGGTAACGATATTGCGTCGCGGTGATATCAACGTCTCTCTGTTGACGTCAGAAGCATTTCGAACGTGACCGCCGCGAGTCAGTGACAGCGCCACCTGACGGCGAGGGGCTTGAAACAGAGAGGACGACAATGTTACCGACAGCTGATATCATCGTGGGTAATATATCAAAGTTATCAATAGCAGTGATCATCGCGCTTAATTTCAAACGGAAATATTTTCAATAATTATCGAATCGTTTGAAAATTGAAGAATAACTATAACGAATTTATACAGCGCACAAAAAATAATAAAAGAAAGATATATTTATTTTTTTTTTAATTATATGTTTTTAAATATTTTTGAATACCTTTATGCATATAACATATAATTATCTTGTAATCTATTAAATAAATCAGAAATATAAGTAGTTTTATTCGAAATAGAGAAAAATATTGTCGGTACTTGAAAAACTCTATTCGATCAATCGCGCGAGGGATGACAGGCTGTGTTTTCTTACCGGAAAGCGCCCGATGTTTTGGCAGCCCTGACGCAGAGCGTCTCGCGTCGTCCCGTCGTCTGCATCGAGGAGCGAGTGACAGGTGACAGCTCGTTCTCTCGGCTCGCGTCCCTCGACTGGCACTGTTCGCGACGACGAAACGGCACCTCGTCCTATCGTCCTGGCGTCGACGGTGTAGACGCGCGATGCCACGATGCCACGCGCGGCGATGCCCTGAGTGTCGAGCGCGGTCGAAACGGGCGACGTTTGGCGTGAACGTCCGATCGAACGTCCCCGACGTCGACGACGACGGCCTCGGTCTCCCACGTCCCGCTTGATCTCGCGCCCGTCACGATGTAAGACCTCGCCGACGACCGGATCGATCAGCGTCCACGCCGTCATCGTCGTCGCTGCGTCTTCGGTGACTGTCATCGACCGTCGTCGACGGCAGATGGTCTCCCGCAGTTTTCCCTACGGTAATCATTACGGTATCATTACAGTCGTAATCGTCTGTTTGAAAGTATTAATGTCGTGTACAGTCGCCCTTTGGGACGTTTCTATAAGGATTTTATTAATTAATTACTTTTTTGCATTGTTTTGTTGTTATATTTACTGGTGATATTTATATCCGAGTTGTTTTGTTCCTGTTTTCTTTAGTAAGAATTAATAAAGTATATTGAAAATTCTCATGTTTTTATAATCTCGCACTAGTAAATTCATACATAAGTCAGTCTTCGTGCATCCCATAAAAAAGTTCTATAATAATTATAATTTTACAATTGATTTTTACAATTTTTATTTGTTAATCTATGAACTTTGAAAAGATATCTTGGTACAGTTTATCAATCTATTATATATTATCAAACATGAGATGGTATACAAAAATAACTAACTTATTTTGATGTATATTATAAGGAAGATTTTTTAATTTCTTGCTTTAGAAATCAATATGATTGCAATGAAACTTCAGGAATCTTCAATTATGGGGATTGTAATGAAACTTTTAGCATGTAAAGGATGTTTATATTATACTTATAGATGCTTATAATGTAAACATATGTTTCTGTTAGAGATAATATAGACAATACATTTAAAGAAAAAAAAATCTAATTGATAAAAAACACTAGTTAAAAAAAGGGAAATTAATATAAAAGAGCTTAGATAATATTGCTTAACAACAATGACTATATGTTTGAAAAATCAATATTATACTTTACAGAAAAACAAAGAGATATGAAGAGATGTAATTAAGTCGGGTGAAAGCTTTTGTGTTCAAAAAGCAAGGATCTCTTCAATCAAGAAAAAGAAAAAAAAAATAGCAAAGGACAACAGATAATTCGGCATGATCCGTGGCAGGAATAGAATCAACTTGAAAATATTAGATGGGGCGGTGGAGGCATGGAAGCCACAGCTGGCCGGCCGTCTCTTCAGAGACTCTTCAAGGACACCTTGCCATCACCGGGAATACCCGGATTAGATGTCATAAGAGCCTTGCACCAAGTACGATTCGCTTCTCTTTTTATTTGTATATTTTTCCTATTTTTTTCATATTCCATATTTTTCCATATCTTTACATGCATCTTTTGTATTTTTATTAAAAATTTAACTTTTAATATGTGTGAAGCTAATATTTGGCTAATCATAGCTATTCGTAAGAGTTTTAGCTTATTTTCAATATAGTCCTACAGTCTTTATTTAAAGAATTTTATAATTTAAATAAATCAGTCTGACTATATTGAATTTGTGCAACATGTTCAGTTTGTCACCTGAAAATTCTCTATATGATGTCTCATATGATTTTAAGAAACTTATAGTTTTACAAATTGAATTTTAAAGAAGTTTTCATTTCTTGAAAGTAAAAAATATCAATTTTTTATAATAATTATTTCTTTTTGTAGTCGATTCATCTAATTATTTATTTGCTAGAAAATATACTAAAATATTAATATGTGGAACATTTTATTTATTTTTTACATACTTCGACGAGATTAAAGACTTGCATGAATAATTCTAATAATGCAGACGATCGTGTCATTGCGTACGGCTTTGGACTCGTCGCGCGAAGAGCTTCGCCGATTGCAAGAGAGCGTCGGAGATTTTTCCAGCGAAAGCTACGTCGACGCAGTGGGTCGTTTGGCTCTCGAGAATCACGTTCTCAGACGAAAAATCTTGAGCAAGAGCTGCGAATTCTCATGCGATGCGGCGCCCAGCTCGCCGATTCAGTCGAAGCGCATCCGACTTGTAGAAACTTCTCGTATGGAGTAAGCAATTTTAATTAATTTCAAATGTTAGCACAAGATAAAGCCTTTCTAAACAAGGACTTGGTCGATTAATTAAGAATTTTTTTTTTAAATCAGGCGACCAACAGATTCATCGAAAACTACCATGGACGTATCTAAAGCGAAGGTCGATGCTGATGCTCGAAATACATTCAATCAACCTGCTTCTGGAAATAGTAGCAGTAGCAGCAGCGGCAACGATAGTCCCGATTTGCCTTCTCGTACTAGCCGATCCGGCAGACTCCAAACTTTATCAAAATTCTCCAAAGCAGTTACCAAAGGCACTAGTTCCACAATTACCGAAGCGGCGTCAACGATGCTAAACGTTGCTCAAAATGAGAATAATAAACCCTCTATTTCGACAACGAAAGCATCTAGCAACGAGGAAGAGCCTCAAGAAATTTCCGGTAGATTTAGCTGATTTTTTAATAAATATAATAAATAATTCTTGACTAAAAATTCTGTAAAAACAATTAAGAGAATAAAGTAAAAAATAGCGTTTTTTTTAAACGAAAAGAGAAACGACTCAATACGTTGACTCTTAAAAATTACATTATATTATCATTGAAATATTTTCAAACGTACTTCTTTAAGAGGAATTTATTGTTCTAGGCGATGCGGTCAATATGGTCCATTTGGATGTTCCTGAAAAGGATACCGAGGACTTAAGTTTAAAATCCATTTCCGACGGTGACAATTCCGTATTCAGTGATCACACGGATCAACCACAGGCACCTCGGAGTCAACCGGGTGATTCATCGAGACCGAATGAACATTCGGAGAACGAATCAGAGGAGTTGGACGATATCGAGCTGATATTTACGACAGACGAGACCTGTCGCGATCTCGGTCTGCAAGAGGATTTGGTATCTATCACTGAGACCGAGTCCTGGCAACATACAGGTACCGGCAGCGGCCAACCTGTTCTACTCAAATATACAAAATCGACAGAGAATGAATCCTTGGTCTGTAACGGCGACAAGACCAGTTCTGTCGAGGAAGCTGTCTCCTCGCAAAGTTCCAGCATCGATCGTGAGGAGAGTGTCGATAGGTTCGACGAAAGTTCCAGTACCAGACTCAATAAGATGTGGTCGCAGTGTTCCGTCTTGGTCGAGACGGACATCAGCAAATGCGGTATAGTAGAGGATGCTGAGAGCTCAGCGGGATCGTCCTTGCGACATGTCGCGAGAAGAAATACTCTGGCTGCGCCGCCGACAACTTACAGGTTTACTTAATATCAAACAATTTTTTTTCTTACAAATAATTTCGTCTCCAAGAAATCCGATATCTGCCATATTCATCTAATTTACGTTGTTCATTTCCTAGCTTAAAAATGAATTATTAACAATCGGTTAATCGAGATTGTTGTTAATTTTTAGTTTTTTTGTTTTATATTTTTTTATTAATATAGATTTGATAAAAAATGTATTATATATTATCCTTTTTTCAGACCTATCATTCATCGAGAGGCTTTGGCTAGTAGTCGTAGAAAGAGCTCTGCTCCGTTGCGACCAGTGATGGACCGTAGTAGTGGTGCTCGAAGAGAATCCGGTGCTCAGACGGATATCTCCGCGCTTCCGGCACAATGGCGGTCCGAAAGCTACCTGGCTCACAAGGTTGCGCATACCTTTACTACGTTGCCGAGCAAGTTTGCGCTTCCAACAGGCGTGCCCGGTCGATTGAGGCTGTCGGACAAGACTCGAGAAGCTAGGAGAGTGATGTTGTCAGACATCAGCTTCACTAGCATGGTACCAGAGTTATCAAGAAGCGCGGATCATTTATGCCATGATCCACATACGCAGGTAAAGTTAACATAGAGAGGATAACATATGTAGAAAGAGCAAGAAACAAATTGTTATAATTTCTTAAAAAATCTGTAATGAAAAGAAAAATACAATAATGTTTCTTCTTTAGTGTTTCAATTCGCGCAATTATGGTCTTCGTACACCAGAAATCCATAGACGCGAGTCTCTGGGGTCTCCCGCGGGATACTGGCCGCGTTGCAATCCCGCAACAGGCTTGCCAAGTCCCTGCGATTGTCGATTATCGACCGATTTGTATCCTTCGCGATATCGCGGCTCCTTGACATCGATACCATCACCCGGTCTCGAGGTTGTCGGTGGTCCTCCGCGAAGACACTCTTGGAGAGCGACGGCAGCGTCCTTTGACACATGGAGGGTTCCGGTCGCAACTTCTACGCCACGTCCGACCTGGTCTTCGATGCCATCCTCTCCGACACATGTGCATCCTCCGTCGATCTCCTCCAGAATTTCGAAAAGTGCACCAAAAAGAACCCGATCAAAAGTGACTTTTCAAGGTATAATATGTACATTCCGTCCTCACTGCGTCTCAAACGTATTCACGATATAATTATTCACGATTATAATTAAGGAAAAAAAAGGAATGTATGTAAAAATATTTTAGAGAGGAGCTCATCTATAGTCGGAAAGTAAATTCAAAATGAAGATATTCGTAATTTTCAGAGTGTCCAATGACGCGCGGTAGTCTGCCCAATTTGCGTTCAGACTTGGTTGGCGGTGAAAATAGCGGAGATTCCACCGAATCATTAATCGATGAAGCCGAGGATTACTTGCGGCGAAGTATCGATTCTATGTTGACAATATCAAGCGTCAGCACGGATTATTGGAATAAGCAAACAGCGAGACGAAGAAGGACGCGAAGACATTCGGAACCTGACTTAATTCACGATTGGCATCCTCCCCAGGATGCCAGGCCATATTTGCCAAAGGTAAAGTCATGTTTATCTCATATTCATCAAATAGGTAAAGTCATGTTTATCTCATATTCATCAAACGCAGAGATTCTTGCTAATAGTCATATCTTCAATATAATAGATTTTCATTTAGATTAAAATTTTTGCGTAAAATCTTTCAGATACCAAGAGATCTCAAATTAGATCACCTTGTGAAGGTTATATCGCCGGAAGGTAGGGTCCTCCAGGGACGTGTGAGATATGTAGGTCCAGTTCCAGGTCGAGAAGATGCGCACGTTGGTGTGGAATTGCCATATGTTAATGGTTCATCTGATGGTACTTTTCACGGCAGAAGATTCTTCGATTGGTAAGCTTGTAAGAAATTAAATACAGAATATTTCGCAGATGCATAATATTTATATAAAAATTAAATGTATGTTTTATTTTTATTTAAAACTACGTTAGAGCACAAAGAAATAATAGAATATACTTTTCCTCTTTCTGCTTTTTTCCTTCTTTCTTTGAAATCTGATAGCTCTAATCTCGGCTTTATTTAAGAATAATTTGTTATTAACAGTGAACCGGATCGTGCGATCTTTGTCCCGTTCAAGAAGGTGGTGCTTGCCTGGTGTACTACTTGACCCGAAGCGCCAATTCCCATGGTCACGCCTCGTATTCTACTTTCCCAGTACACCATGTAAGAAGAAAGGAGGGGGGGAGAGAAAGAGAGAGAGAGAATTCGGCGAGTAAGTTGTATTTATCGCGCCTCCTATTCTATTCTCCCAGTACATCATGTAAGAAGAAAGGGAGGAAGAAAAAGAGAGGGTGGAGGGCGAGAGAGAGAGAGAGAGAATTTGGTGACACATAAGTCGTATTTACAAATTATCATATGTGAAAGCTGGCCAGTCCTCTGATTAGGTTCAGGTCAGAGATAATGAGACTATTCTTAATCTTTGTCGATTAATTCTCTCATCCCCATATTTAATTATATAGCTGTTTAACTACATGTGTAAAAATATCAAAATTAAAAAAATAACTTTGGATGCCAATATAATCATATGTCGGTGTAATACTATAAACATGTATGTATGTAACATACACACACGCACTATATGTATATACGTACATACACTCATCCAATGATTATATACTATAGACTATTTCGTTTCAGATAGATGGATAATTACTACTTAGAGATAGTAGTGACGAGTTCCGTGATATTATCAACATCTTACTGTACCTAATTTTCTACAAAATATTTTTCTTATAGATATGAAGCAAAATTGATAAAGTCTCATTGTATGTTTTCCTAATAGTACAGTGGGAAAATAAGTCGAAATTTGTTAAAGGAACACTAAAATATAATCCTTTATCAAATTTGCATGATATATACATTCAACTCGCAAAATATAAGCGAAAAATATCACTCAAGTCTGAGAACAAATACAGAAAGATAGATCATGAAATTTCGCAAATTTTCGTCATCTTACTCACATTAACAAAATGGATATATGTACAACATGTATGTACATACATAAACAAATGGTTATATGTACAAGATGTATGTATAAATCGTAAAATAATTTTCATAATGTTCAACGTATACAATATAAAAAAAAACAAAAAATAAAAAACAGACATATAACACACCTATAACTTGAAAGAACCTAAATCCTAAATGTAGTATTGTGTTACACGCTCTAAAGATAAGAACGTATTTGGTTGAACAGTGAATTTGGGAATGAGAGAATTACAATTTTATGTAACTGGAAGATAAAAGCAGAATCAGTCGCTAATTAATTTTTGGCAAAAATAATCAAAATTACTTGTTAATTAATTAATTAATAGTTTCTATCAATAATAATTCGAGAGGCTATGTGCAGCGAACGCTGGTCTTTTATTTCGGATGGCATAGTGTTGTGATCATACTTCAATCTCGATAAAATGTCGTTTGCTTGTGCTGCGATATTATAATATTAAGCTATTAAGAGAAAGATTGTGTTCCTCATTCAAAGGATAAAATGACAAATTTATTTTGGCTACTATGATTAATTACTTATTATTATTAATACACACATCGAGAAAACTTTTATCCCGAGCACTCTATTATATTTCAACTTATAGAAACTTTCTTAATATGGAAAAAATTTTTCTCGTTGGATAATCTGTATAATTGATCAATTTTCTTCGTTGCATGATATCACCAACATTCTATTTCTCTTACACATGATTAAATGTCGATTTAAATTCTTTCCTTTTTTAAGAGAAGCTTGCATATTCCTTCAAGGTGCAGTCTAATTCAATTATTTGGCATATAATGTGGCACAAAATCTCCTCATGAGTTTTCTTATTGTTAGTCATAAGTAAAATGTTGGGTAAAATCTATAGTAGAGCATTCATCTGATGATTGGTAATTTCCAATTCATTTTTTATCGACATCTAATGTCTTTAATTTCGTAGATGGACAGAATTATCTTGAAAATTTAATTTCGCTGAGTTAAAAATTTGACACACTCACTAAGAAAAGTTAATTAAATGAAAGAATTAAAAGTATTTTATTAGAAAATTCAAAAAAGAAAAGAAGAAAAAGAATTATAGATATATACAGGATAATTTGATGATAGCTCCAATCGAATCTTTGTCTATCAATTACAAGGTGGCTATTCTAATATCGATCTATCCAACATTCTGTGCAATTTAATTAATATAAGATTACAATATAAAACTTTTTTTCGATGTGCGTATTCTTGACTGGAATTAACGAAAATAGAGACAAAAATGGATCCATAAAGAGAAACGTGCAATAGTAATAAATGCTATTAAATTTGTTATCAACTTAATAATATCTTTGCGCGTTGCTTACGAGCTTTCAATAAACAAATGCTTTAGTGTATGCCAGACATCAAGAGTGTTTTTCTATGTGAAATTAGACCTATTTCAAGATATACCGTATCGTGTCTCGATATTTATGATTCAGAATTCTGATCTATCTGATAATTTGACGTCTCTAAATGTTTGATACGTCTAACTTGACGTGGCAAAGCTCTCTGATGTCGCAAGTGATGTACGCGTATGTATATGTATTTGACGTATATATATACATCAATTTCTGTACATTTTAAAAAAACACGCGTATGTAAAGTGTGGGCACTACACTTGGCTGTACAAAGATACAAATAATCATATCCTGAGGCTGTACCTATCGTCTTAATCGATGGATCTGATTTATTCGAACCGCAATGAGAACTGATCGATGCGTTTCTCTGAATTCTTAGATCCATGGATACCTAGCTGAATATAATATTAACGTAAAAACGGCGAGATGTCAAATCCTCTCACTATTTATTGTATCGTAACAAATAAAAACGAAAAAATAAAGAAAATTGGCTTACAATGTTAGGATACATTATCTTCTTTAAATATAACTCAAGAATCATTCGATGTTAAATACCTTTTCCTGCTTTAGAAAAAATTTCTTAATTCGTATCATAATTCTTAGATTGTAAAGTTCTTAGATCCTTAGATATTCGAATTTATTTAAATTAGAATACGGATAATTTCATCTTTTTGTATTAAGTATATAAATCTCCCTTTTCATCTTTCACACTTCCAACAATTACTTTCATTCGTGCAATCTTGATCATTGTACAATTATACTTTTAATTACGATTCAGAATTCGCTTTCTCTTTTATTTAATTTCGATAAAGCGAAGTAATTATAAATGATGAGCCGGATAGTCGGCGTACCAGCTGAAGGCTCCGTTGGAACCGGTCTGCCCTCCGAAATCGACGTAATCCAAAATGTGTGTGACTGATCGCTCAGGACGGTGTTCTCTCGAATCATCCTGATGAACTATGCTAGGTACGGCGACTGGCACGTATGCCTCCGTTTGTCGAGCCACCCTCGACAACGAGGCTGTGATTGGGCTCACCTCGATGACATCGATACCCTCGATACCGTCGACGGGAATTGCAATGTAACGTCGACCTCCTAGTACGCCATAAAAGGAGCACAGCAACATCAAAATGATACCCTACGATACGGAAAACATATTCGATTATATTTAAGATTTATATTTTTTCATTTCTTTTTAATACTATTTATTTTTATAATATAAATTGATAGATATATATTTTGAAATCTTTATTTTACCAAAATTAAAAATCGCAAATGGAATAGAAAATAGTTCTTATTTCAATGTTAATATTTTTCAATTGGATAAGACTAATATTTAATTGTAAAGATTAGAAATGTAACTTTATCATATTAGTTTATTTTACTTATTTTTCTCAATATTTTCGGTAAACTTTTGTATTCAAAGCGCTCTTTAAAAAATTATGAAAGATTTTCATTACTTTTGTCGCAATACAAATATTTTTTAACATATATGTTTTCTTATTAATTCCTTCAGTACAGAAGTTGATTTAGAAACAATGATATTTTATAGTTTTTTATCCTATATTATAATATATAATTTTCAGAAGATGCTAAATAAGAATTTATTAAATTTTCAAAATTAAAAATAGTGAATTGAATATAATAGACAACAAATTAAAAATATATGGAAAAATGAAATTTTGATTTATTATATATGGAAATAAGATTTATCATCAACTTTTTCAAATAAAAAAAACGGTGAATAAATAAAAAAGAATTAACATTCAAAGTTGCTGCCTTCATAGTTAGTTAAAAAAATAATTTTATAAAATATTTTGTGACCTCAGAAAGAGTATGCTACGAGAAAAACAAAAAGATAGAATTATATACTCTATTCTTTTTTTGCTTTTAACATTTTTTATTCTTTTCCAAATTTGTCTAGTTTTTTGTGTTTTTTATAACTTTATATCAGAATTCATATTTTAGTTGAAAAGATTCTTAGGATTCATATTTAGTCTTACGATATGATAATCTTTAAAAAATATAATTTTGTTCATGATGCACATATGCGTCAACCACACTTCTTCATGACACACATCCATACTGAAGGAGTTAAAAACTAATACCTCATCATGTTTAAAATTAATTTGATAAAAAAGAGAAAAAATGAAGTGATTAAATTATAAATATATTATTTACCAAATTATTCATCGTCCTCTCGTGATGAATTGAGAGCAAGCTAGCAGTTCGGTCTGTCGAACTAAAGTGAGGGGTTTCGTTGCTGCCGTTTTATACGTTTCGCTTGGCCACAGCTTTCTAGTCTCTCTGAGAATAACCGACAATTACTTCTGGCTACTTCTTGCACCATGCTTATCCCATCGCGAAGCTGGCCGTTGACCGCAAGCCGCTGAAATGTTTCCTCTGAGAAAAAGAATCATTATATACTTCTTCCTCGATTTACGCCTCGATACTTTTGATATTCAGTCAAACTTTCGATCATTTCTTCTTGCTGGCTTGTTTTTCTTCCTGATTCAATTCAGTAGTTTCGGCTTGCTTGCCGATTCAGCGGTTTATCAAAGATTTAACAAATTTCTCAAAAGCTATTTATATTTCTGCTAATACTATTGACAAAAATAATCTCATAAATAATCTCTTTAATTCATATATTACACTATAATTATATTATATAACTATTATAATTATTTATACGCTTACACAATTTGATTTAACTATAATGATTTAACTATAATGTAAAAATATAATAAAGAATATATTCTTTTTTATATATACACTATTATTTTTCTTATTATTGTCAGTAATTAAAACACATAACAAGAAAAATTATTATATAATATTATATATAGGTGAATGAAGGAAGACATGATATATTTATTAAGAAAAACTGATTCTCTGATTATATTTATTGAGAAAAATTGTATTTCATAAAAAAAAATAATATTTTAATCTTAAAAACTAATCGCTAAAAATTATTCCATTGTATTTCAATTATCGAAGCATATCGCATTTGTTTATATTTTTGTACTATTATTTATATATGTATATATATATATATATATATATATGTATGTATATGTATATATATATATATATATGTATGTATGTATGTATATGTATGTATATATATATATATATATATATATATATATATATATATATCATATGTGTATATGTGTACCCTGTATATATATATATATATATATATATATATATATATATATATACAGGGTGTCCCAAAACACATATGTATGCATATATAATATATATATTTAATGTATATTAACGTTCATAAAAAATTACAGAAATTAGTGCAAAACAATATGGAAATTTACAATATATTATGTCTATTATATCATATTGTCTTAATTTTAAAATTTTAAACATAAATATTAATAATTAATAACTAATAACTAAACTGCAAAAATTCATATTGTTGTTGTTTCATGGCACAAGTGTGAGTTGTATAATTCCAGTACAAATGTATTAAAAGTATAAATTATATCTTACATAAAGACATAAGGTCACTACATATTACATATCATAACATAAACAGTATGTATATCTAAAAAAATTCTTTTTATTTTCTGGACTAATCTAGAGAAAAAAATTTTACGAAAACTATTAAGATTAAAATAAAAAATAAAAATAAAAATTAAATAAACAGTTTCGAAAAGGATATCTTTCAAGATATGTTATTTGGTCCTTTATCGGCATTGCTATGCCTATTTCAATTAACTGCCTAGATTCTTAAAAAATTATTAAATAAATGAAAAATTCTTCAATATTGTTTACATCCAGAAATTAATATTAAATATAAAAAATATATAGTTTATTTTTAAGAAAGAAGCTAGAATAAAAAGATTTCTTATAAATTCTTCATGCAATTCATACTAAAGATCTTATTCTGAAATTTATATGCCTAATGTATATAGATTAAATTTTATGCCTAATGTATATAGATTAAATTTTAAACATAAGAAAATTATATAAAAATTATATGAAAAAGGAAACTTTAGTAAAAATTTATCATGAATTGAATGCTAAAACTAGTATTTTAGAAAAGCTGAGAACAATCAATTGTTTCTACAGATTGAGGAATCGGCTTCATCACGAATATTCGAATCATTTTCAGCCATCTAAGAAGATGAAACGGATTGAATATCACATTTATCTTTATAATAAATTGGTATGGTTCAGAACCTTCTTCTTCTTGGCTAATTCTAAATGTATCAGAGTTTTTCTAATATTAATGATCTGCAAAAAAAACAATAAAAAATATTTATAAAGCGAAACTTTTAAAAATGCACGCATAATGATGGCAAAGTTTTCTCTCACAGAGTAAATTGCTTCAAAACTTTTAAATCAGATATCATGGAATCAGAAATCTCATAAATCTAATATAGATAGTTATACAAAATGTTATTTCAAAATGAATTTTATATTTTTTTATGAATGTATAAAAGTACATATATAAATACTATATATCTATATAATTACTTCAATTTGACAGAAATACAGCGTGAATAATGATATAACTGGTTTTTATTTCTCTTTTTTCCATCTATATTTATCCACATTTTACATTTACTAGTAGTTTGCCTCGTTTAAGCGCGGTAGAATTTGGTAAGTCTTCAACATTTGCGACATAGCGCAATTATTCTCGTATAATGTAAACTCAGATATTAAATTTAGTTAACAAATTCTTACATAAAACTTCCATAAAAATTTATATATATTTAAAAAAAAAGTAAAGGGAGAAAAGAGAAAGAGATTCTGAATAGATTTAAATGTATGACCATTATAATATAGAAATATTCATTATTATAGAAATACTCATATACAATATTGGTCAAAAGTATCACATCATCTCCAAAAAAATATAGAAACATAAGTAAATGAATTTTTTATTTTTTCCCATAATTGCTTCGCTTATGTTTATAACATTCATTAAAGCATATAATAACATTTAATAATTAGAAACTTGGCTCAAGTAATCAAAAAATCAAAAAGAAAAAGACATAAGAGCCAACGCGCGGTAGTTGGATCTTATGTCATATAATAACAATAATAAAATATAATTTAATAATATTATTTGATATGTTTTTAATATATTTGATATTTTTGTTCATTAAACTAATGATTCTTCTATTTCTATAAATAATACAATATTTTTGATTGATACTATTTGATATTGATTATTTATATATCAACAACTACTTTGGCTCTTTTATTAGTCCTTCTTATATTATTGAATCTTAAGCTTTTGTTAACCATCTAACCATTATATATCGATTATGAAGTTAGAAAAATCATATAAATTTTTTTCCTTATATGTCGGATCTAATTTCTTTAAATTTAATTTACAAACAATATTCAAATATTTACAACATCGTTTTTGCTTCATCTATCTTTCTTAAGATAAGTATCAATTTTAAAGCTATCAGGAATAAATGTAGAATATTGTATAAAATTTCAACAAGTTCGTACATCTGTGATGCAATGTTTTGTAAAAATATAAGCAGATTTGTAGAAAATAGAAGAAAATAAATATCTCTTTTAAAAAAGAGCGAAACTATCAGCAAAAAATGACTATTTTCAAAAAATGACTATTTGCAAAAAATTGAAAAGAATTAAATAGATTTTGAAAAAAAATTTACTTATTTTCTTTCCTTACCTTATCGTCAGTCTTCTCGTAAAGCTCGAGCAAAGGAACCGATCTGCAGAAATAGTAAGATTTGGTATTATCGGAATCGGGTAATTTGGATCTCGGATATATATATTGTTCAATTCTAGCGATGAGAGGTTTCTCCTGTCTCACGTGAGTGAGATCAGCAAATTTGAGCCAAGCTTCGGCAGTCCACTCGTTTTCTCTAAGAATAATAGTCGTTATCATCATTGAAATCGATTAATAACCGAGAATCATTAATTTCGGCTTACCGTGGCTCTATATTTGCCAATGAACACTCGATGGCTTGCAATTCTAAGCACAACATATCCGTACGCAGCTCCAACACGTCATTTATGGGAATGGTTTCAACATTTCCATAATCCACATAGAAGACTTTACAATCAAAGTTTCCTAAGCTCAACACTTGCGCGCGATACCATTTGTTGTCATGACTGAATTTGGCTGCTACTATTTGATATAATTTTATCTAAAATTAGCGAACATTTATAAATAAGTAATATCTATAAGTAATTATACATAATAATTGTACTATAATATGATAATTGTATAATTATTCTTTACATATTATTTTAAGCATCTTACTATTTAGCGCATTGAAAAAGTTGAAATCTTAAAAATTTCATATAAAATTAAATTTTATAATATCTACAGCATTTATACAAGATATTAAAAATATATATGTATTTAGAGAAATTACAATATATAAAATATCTAAAGTTTGTATTTTTCTATATTATCTTTCTGTTTTTACCTTTTTCTTATGAAGTACACGATTTTCCGCTTCATTGTAATACTTTGTCATTTCAGACACTAAGTTATTTAAAGCTGCGTTTCCAGGGCCAATCTTTTGAATCCAAAATTTATGTGGTGTTTCCACCGCAGATACGAATACTTCTATTCTTTTTTGGTCTGTTAAGAACAAAAGTTAATTACAGCTAACGAAAATCAAACAAATTAATAAAATTCACATTAATTAAACATAAATTCATTGTACCTTTTATTTGACTAACAGCTAAAGTTTTTTATTTGAATTGGAATTGAAAAATCGAACATTTTGCGAAAATAAAGTTGTTTTATATATATAATTGTGTATACCTATTTGTAAAAAAACCTTTGAAATAACCTGATCGGACTTTTTTTGGTCTAGACCTTTAACCTTATCTCTTATCTGCCTCATGGCTTCTGTTACTGCTGTAAGATATCCTTGTAACGTTACTTTATTATTGTCTACGAAAACAAAATTAATATATAATTACCACAATGATTGTTATAGACTCTTGCTAGTGTCTTCGATACAAGAATAATAATATAGATACAATTTGTATTAAAAAATTAAAAATTTATAATAAAATTCTTACACAAAAGGTATAAAATTGAGTACCAGAATACAACAATACAACATAACAATAAAAAGAGTCGAAATAAAAAAAGAGGAAACTCTGAACATACATACCTAGAGATATAGGATCTTCCTCAATTATAATTTCTACATCTCCAAAATCTTGTTTTAATTGCTCTATAGTTTTTCCACTTTTTTCTATGAATTTTTCCCATACTTTATGTGGTACAGAAGGTTTATAAATTAAAAAAAGCCTAAGATCTCCTTTAAGGTTATCTGTTATATTTTGAATATTTGAGTTGAATATTTCTTCTTTTTCTAAACCTTTCATCTTATGTATTATCTGCATAAAGATTTTTTCTACTGGTACAAGATAACCTTTTATCACTACTTTATTATTGTCTATAAAAACAAAATTAATATATAATTACCACAATGATTGCTGTAGACTCTCACTAGTGTCTTCCATATAAAAATAATAATATAAATACAATTTATATTAACAAATTTAAAATTTATAATAGAATTCTTACACAAGAAGTAATTGTAATAAAATTGAGTAGACCAGAATATAATAATAAAATGAAAATAAATTGTCAAAATAAAAAGAGAGGAAACACTGAACATACATACCTGGAGATATAGGATCTTCCTTAATTATAATTTCTACATCTCTAAAATCTTTTTTTATCTGCTCTATAGTTTTTCCACTTTTTTCTATGAATTCTTCCCATACTTTATACGGTACAGAAGATGAAGTAATCTTAGAAATACCAGTCTCTTGTAAAAAATCATCATCTATTGCATTATCGATTTCATCATCTATTTGAACCCTTATTTTATTCTCTAAATCATCTATTTTATTTTTTCTTTTATCATTTAATTCATCATATAATACATTATATGTTTCGTCATCTGTTTCGTCATTTGTTTCATCATCTATTTTACCTTCTATTTTATCTTCTATTTTATCTTCTATTTCATTTTCAATATTTTTATTAACGGATGATGTAAGCATTCTTATATTTGCTTCTCGTTTATGTTTCATATGAGCTTGATATTTTACTTCGTAAAATTTATCTTCTAATTGATTAATTGCATATCCTATTTGATTGAGATTTCCTGTTATTTTTATTTTGCTTCTCCATCTACCTATAAAGAAAAAAATTACCATGGTTATTACAATAAATAATAGATATTAAATATAATTCTCATATATATATATATATATATATATATATATATATATATATAATGCAATATTAATAAATATGTGCATTTAGAAAATAAATTTCGATAAATATTGTATAAAAACACAAATCTGTATATCTGTATATATAAATGAAAATAAGATATTGTAGATTTAATGAGATTTATAAAGCAAAAATTCATTTAAGAATAGAAAATTAGGTCAATTGAAATTTTTAAACTTTCTAAGACATTACAAATCTAGAGAAAATTGTAATAAAATTGTGTAACAATAGCAATTGAAAAATATACAATTGAAAAATCATTATATAGAAATACATAAACACAAATAAAAAAAACTTTTAAGTTGAAGAAAATTTAAAATTTATAAAAAAATTATATGGTAATAAAATAAATAATCCAAAAACGATAAAAAAATTATATGAAGCATAATTAAAAAAGCAAATATGACTGAACAAATTACAAAAGAAAATATTAATATAGCACACACCTTCAATTTTATAAGCAGCATAGTCCAATATGATTGTTGCACCAGAAGATTTTTGTATTTGCTGTACAATATCCTTATTTCTAAATTTATTTAAAAGTCCAATCTTTTTACAAACTCTATTTAACTCTATCAATTCATAAGCATGAATGATAGGTTGAATTTCTAGTGTATTTTTAATCAATAACTCTGCTAAACGAATGCCATCTGCTTCATTACCCTTTACGATGCAGATATAATCTGGAGATCCATCTTTTTTATCAAAATGAATATGCGTGCCACTTTCAATTTCTATGGCACGTTTTATTACACCATCTATACCAATTATAGCAGATATAAGTTCCTTAGGCACTTCATAATGTGCTGTAATGCTACTAGATAATATTGTCTGTTCATCACTATCATCTTTGGTTTCATCATCCTATTGTGCAATAATAATAAATTTATATTGAGAAAAAATTGATAAAATTTATTAAATTTTACATCAAAAGAAAGAGAAAGAGAAAAAAGGAAAAACTGATTTATAATTGTAAAGAAATAAATATGATATAAAAAATGTATACCAAAAGTATAAAATTTACCTTTCGAAACATAGAATAGAGCAACATTGACAGAGATACACAACTGACAGTTGATAAAGATATGCCAAGTAGAATAGGTATTACAAATTGTTTATCCATATTTGATATCCAACTCCTTTTGCAATGAAAAGATTACACAATCAAGATAATTTTGTGTGTGATCTGTGAATATATACATGTATTAAAAAAAATTTACATATATTTATAATTATTCACATATATATTCTTATTTATTCGAACAATACATTTTTCAAGGTTAAGAAAACACGATCTTTTTTTACGGATGTTAGTCCTACAGATTAAATTTTTTCCATATAACGATTTTAATTATTTTTGTCAATTATACTCAAAATCTCCGCAATAAGAGCAATATATTTTATAAGTTTAATACATTTTACACGTGAGAATTTTTACACGTGACAAAGGAAGCCTATATACCGCATACTTACTATAGTTTGTATCTAAAATGTGTTTTACAGAAGCACGGTCGAGATATGTAAAATAGAAGACAAATTTTATATATTCAATAACAGCAACGGTTGAAAAGTAACAATTGATTTTTATTTTCGCCAAAAAATGTTGTTTTACGGAAAGTCTAAAATGATTACTTTAAGCTAAACGTTTCCTCTACATCTCTCCTCTAATCTGATAGATATACACTCCGCGACAACGATTCGTTCCGTGGCTCCTCTCTCGCGGGGCAAGGGGAATGTAGAAGTGACCAATCAGCTGGCAGCGTGGCAGTGGCTGATTGGTTAGAGGCTCCCCTTGCCCCGCAAAAGGGACCGAGGAACGAATCGTTGTCGCGCAGTGTACATATTACGTACTCTATATAAACACATGAAACCTTGGGTCTGTTCTTTTTAGCTGCACTGCTGCACTACAGCAATTAGTTAGAGTGAAAGAAAGTATGTTTGTCTCTTTCTAACTTATTGCACTAGTGAAGCAGTACAGCTGAAAAGAACAGACCCCTTGTGTAATTTTCGAAGGAATGCGATAAAAGTTATCGGATATACTAATTGGCTATCGCATAGAGAATTTCTCAAGCTTTTATCAAGAATTCAAGAAATTTCCTATTCGCCAATCGATACTTGATAAATCTTATAATAACGTTTTTAATTTTTTGAATTCTTGATTGAGGAGACTGAGAAATTTCATGTCAATCGATACGTCTGACTTTTATCGCATTCCTAAATATTAAGTCATCGAAGATTACACAAGTTTCACGTGTTTATATATAAATTAATAAATTAATTACTCCGGGATAGTTTAGACGTTAGCCATTCTTCTGAAAAATATATGGTTACATTCTTCAGAAAAATGGTAGTGATTGGGTGCATCCAGAAGCCAATCGCTCACCGAGCGGCTAAGTAGCAATTGAATGTGATTGGTTTCTATCTTCGAATTCACCAATCACGTTCAATTGCTTCTGGATGCACCCATTGGTCAATGGCCGGTATTCATAGTCCGGTCTTACATGTAAGATCATCTTAAGAACTCATTCAACCAATCAAATAGCTACAATGCAGCTATTGATTGGTGGAATGAGAGCTTAAGGCAATCTTAAATATAAGATCGAACTATGAATTCCAGCCAATGACGTCTACTAAACTATCTTGGAACGATTAAACTCGACCATTTTCGAAAACGTCATAAATAAATAGCGCCAAATATCTCGCGTGATATTTAATATTGTAATAAATGTACACAAATTTTCTTTTTTTAAATTTCAATTGCGTTTGAAATCAACAATACTTTTATGCAAATAGGGCTTATGTATTGTACTATTTGTGATTAATTTAACGTATATGTAAATAAATAAAAATATATTCAATGTGCATATATTATATAAGATATATCTTATCGTATTACTTTCATAAATCGATTTATGCTGATCATTCAGATTGCTTTTATCACAATAAGATAAGAACGCGAAATTATTAAAAACAGTGATGCATCTATGGTGAAAGGATATATGTATACCAGAAATAGCTGTTCGTCACATTTAATACAGATGTTAAAGTAGCAATTTCGGTGAATTTAATTTTCGCTAAAAATACTCGCAAGAAAATTCTTTACATTAATCGTCGTGCTATTTCATCGCCGAAAATTATTTTCGTATATTCTTGTAATATCCTTGTACATATGTGATCTTAATTTCGAATTTATATCATTTCTATAATTTTATAATATAAATAGCGCGATGAGTTCACCGGATCTACCACGTGTTTTGGTTACCAGCAATGCAACGCCGACAACCGGCATCGACTTGCTTCGACCAAAGTAAGTTCATATTTATAGAAAAAAAATACATAAAAATGTATAAAAATATATAATGTATATACATATATATATATATATATATATATATATATATATATATACAGGGTGTTAAAAAAGTATCGCATACGCTTAGTGCCATCTGATAGAGAAGGAGAATTTAAGAAAAAATGTCTAATAGTATTTTTCGATCCCATGAATAATTTCGTCGCAATTAATTATTGTAATCAATTAATCAGCGCGGAGCTACAAGAGGAAGCCAGGGGCGAAGCGCGTGAAGTCTGTGGCGCGACGACTAGCGCGGTAGCCGCTAGTTTACTATAATAGTAGTTTACTATAATAATAAAATACTATTATACATTTTTTCTTAAATTCTCATTCTCTATCGGATGGCACTGAGCGTATGCGATACTTTTTTAGCACCCTGTATATATCCCAGATAGCACAGTGAATTCTAACAGTAATCTTTAAGTTTCCTCTTTTTTAAATTGTAATTCTTTAGGAATTCATAGATGAATACAATAAGAATGATTGTGGAAGTTACATGCACCATGATTGAATTCTTGAGAACTTCTTAAAGTATTCATATAGTATTCATATAGTATTCATATAGTATTCATATAGTATTCATATAGTATTTTTTCATTTTCATAAATATAAACTTTATGAATTCAATGGGAATAGTATTTGGAACACTAAAAGAATATACTAAATCTAAAAAAATAATTGATTTCAATATTTGCAAGAAAATATTTATTTATATTATGCCAAAATATATTTGAATCATTAAAATATACATGTATATTTTGCTGATTCAAATATATTTTTGCTTAATATAAATAAATATTTTCTTACAAATATTGAAATCAATTATTTAAATAAATATTTTCTTAATTTAAATAAATATTTTCTTATAAATATTGAATCAATTATTTTTTTAGATTTAGTATATTTTTTCAAACATAAGGAATTTTGTAGGAAAAATTAATACACAATATTATTAATATTTTAACTTTTTTTTAATATAACTTTTTATTTAAAATTAAATGTATGTGCATACAATATATATTATATTTTTATATGCATATATAATTAAAAAAAGTAAATATATATGTAATATAGTAAACAACTTATATTAAACGCTGTAATTTAATTAATGCATATAAATACAATTTACTTTTATTTTTTATAATAGTTGGTTATTCTTCAGTTTCGTCTAAAACTTTTATTGTGATTGATCTTTTACTTGAACTTTTATCGTCTAAAACTGTGATTGTGATTGATCTTTTACTTGAACTTTTATCGTCTAAAACTTTTATTGTGATTGATCTTTTACTTGATCTTTTACTTGAACTTTTATCGTGACTGATAAATCTGTAATAAAATATATGTATGAAATTATATAACATTATATTATACATTAGAAAGACTACAGGAATAAGACATTCTATAAAATTAATATATAAAAGTAATATATGAACATATAATAGAAGTTTGTATTCATATAATCAGAAATCGCCTGTTGAAAGTACATGAACTACATGCAGACAAATATTTATCCAAATTTATCAATAGATAGAGATTTTGATTGACTCTGTTGGCAAACCAACTAAAACAGCTTGTTTACTGAATGAATAAACAACAAAAATAAAGACTGCATGCGTTTATTTCGAGGTAGTAGGAATATATTTAGTTCAACTAATACTTACCATTCAATAACACCCAATTATTAATATAATTATGTAGCACTGTACTTTTGTAGTCTGATATAATATATATAAATATATTACCACCTTTTTATTGCAAAATACATGTAGCACACTGCACACTGCACGAAATTACAAGATAAAGTCTGAACCGAACACACACAGTCTCGCGCATGCGTGGGAAAATAACAAGTAATTCCTTATAAATTCTCAAAGTATTCATAGTACTGTCGCAAAGTATTCATTAAAATGAATTTATAAAGAATATTTCAAGACGAACTAATTATGATTAATTTTTCAAGAATTCTTCAGATATTCATTTTTCTAATTCTACAAGTATTCTTTAAAATGATTTCTCTATGAACTTATGTTCACCTTTGTGCTATCTGGGATATATATATACATTTTACATACATTATATATTTTTATACATTTTTATATATCTTACATATATCATTTTTATATATATATTTATAGAATATATTTATATTATTTACATACTTATAGAATTTATATATATTAATTATATATAATTATATATTTAGGGAATATATATATATATGTGTGTGTGTGTGTGTGTGTGTGTGTGTGTGTGTGTGTCTCTGTGTGTGTGTAACATTATAAATGTATTGGTGTGTGTGCGATATGTATCATTTATCGTTATTTTTATTGATATGTAGATGCAATCTCCACTATTATGCCAGCTGTTGTAAATGCTCAGGAACAAGTATTAAAAGCTCTACCTGGACACGATGCTGTCTTTCTCGTCGGCTATAATAAAGTTGACAGCGAGTTCCTGGATGTTGCCGGTAAGTTCAAATTTTATTTTTTTTTTAATTTGCTTATGCAACTATTTTTAAAGATATTAATTAAATTTCCACACAAAACAAAAATTAATTAACAAATTTAACTAATATTTAAATGAAGTTTAATAGCAATTTCCAGAATTCTGAACATAGACTAATACGGATTAATCATCATCGAAAGAAATGCAAATTAGAATAATTAAATCGAGATTTTATCGAGCTAGAAACTAAAAAAAATTTGAATCTCTCCAACATTTTTCAGGTCCAAACTTGAAAGTCGTATCGACAATGTCAGCCGGTTACGATCACTTAAATGTCCCTGAAATTAAAAGAAGAGGAATCAAGATCGGGCACACACCGAAGGTGGCGTCGGCTGCAGTTGCGGAAATAGCTATACTTTTAATGTTATCTGCTGCGAAACACGCCTATGAGGGTCGCGCGGCGCTAGAACAGTGATTAAATATTTTCTCATTTCATATTATAATTGATATCGAGAAACTTCTCTGAAAAGTACGAAACAAAATTTAAGATTTATTAATCAATTTAAAACTTTAAAATTGTACTTTCAAATATATTTTCTGTAGAAGTAAAAGTCATGTAACATATGTGCTAATAAGTAATATCTAATCAAGGAATCAAGTAAAACCTGGACCGCAATGGCTATTGGGACAGGAATTACGAGGCTCGACAGTCGGCATCTTTGGTTTGGGAAATATTGGTCAAGCAATCGTTAAACGATTAGTGGCCTTTGAAGTGGAACGCTTTATCTATACCGGACATTCGCGCAAGAAAGCAGGTACATATGTACACAAACACACGCATTTCACAGAGAGTTATCAATCAATTAAATGTTTTTCTCACATAT